ACCAGTTCTCGTATCTTTTTTTGATGATAATAATAATACTATTATTATTATAATTATTAATATATTTAGTGAATAAAAATTATTAATTACTCGTCTATTATTGAAAACATTGAAATTTTTGACCAAAACATCTTGAATCAGATCCGGATCAGACAAATAGAGTACAGGTTTTCCCATTTCGTAAATACCGAAAACTTTTCCATATTTTCGATATAAAGTTTGTTCCGTTTGAATACATTGTTTTGTATAACGTTTCCACCAACTTATCCGAGCAACTGGTAATCCCTGTCGTTCCCAACAATTATTATTGTTGTTATTTGTCCACAAATATCTAAAAAATAAAATTTTAAAAAAATATTTATAATAATTAAATTTTACTATTAAAAAAATATTTTAATAATAATTATTACCTATAAATTACATATAAACTTATTGATATAATTGCAATAAATTTAATATTCATGTAATCAAAAATATTATTATCATCTATTAGATCAAACATAATTATCTTTATTATTATTATTTATTTATTTATTAATTAAATCAGTCGCAAAATAGATGATACTAGTTTTTTTGTTTAAAATAAAATATATCAAAAAACTACATCAAAAACTACATAAGCTATCAAATAAAACTTAATCGGCAAACAAATAGTTATATTTATACATTAAAATAGAATTAATGCGTTCATTATGATTGCGTGTAAGTCATAGTAGATGTCGAAAGCGGGTAATATTTACGGGAACCAAACCGTTTGAAATTTTTTCATCGTTTTCACATAGTTTTAAATATATATTTTTATTCTATTTTTTAATTTCCATATTAAGAAATTCAGTCGAATAATTAGAATAAATATAAATTAATTTAGTAATAGTAACAAATTTTTATAATAATAATAATAGTTTTTAAAACGTGAACCTAAACTTAGGAACCGAAACCGTTTTTGTTACAATTACCAGTAAAAGGATTTAGCATATATAGGTGTGAACTTTTATTTTGTATTAAAAGGATTTAATATATTAAGTTTATATTAAAATAATCTACTAATTAATGTAACTATTAATTAGGTATAAAACAATGGATTAAACAATAGTAATAAATCAATAAAGTAATTAAAAAAAATCACATAACTGCAAATTTATTTGAAAAAATGTTATATTTTATCTTTAATTGAAATATTGTTTATAATATTGTTTTAAAGTTTTTACTTTTATAATGATCAGTTAATAAGCAAATATTAATTATTAATTTTTAAATATTACTTTTTAAAAATTTAAAAATTTTATTTTATTTAGTATTATATATAATAATTATTAATATTATTTATAAAATTAAATATATCTCAAATATTATTACTAAAAGTTCTATTTAGTATATCATTAATAAATAAAATTATTCTCAATTGTATATTTCAATACAATTGCAATATATATTAATATATATCTTAACTTTTTACTATATATTTAATATTTTACTATATGTTAAACTTAAATATAAATTAAATTATAAAGATATTTCTTAGTTTTAGAAATATTATATTATACAATGAATATAAATAAATCTTTATATTTTATTTATTTATGTTTACTTATAATAATACATTTAGCACTGTTTTGTCCAATTTTCATTTTTTTTAAATTTTTTGATTAACTACAATTTTACTATTGAGACTTTTAGTTTGTTATAATAATTATAAAATTTTTTAAAAATATTTAAATAATAAATTTTTAATACATTATTATTAGTAGTACTACTACTTAATATAAGGTAACATAAAATTTAAGCAACCTAATGATTTGACAGAAAATTATTAGCATTTTTAAGTTAAATCATTGTTTTTATAGGTTAAAGTAAATTATAAATATATTTTTTAGTTTTGTGAATATTATTTTAAATAATAAATAAAAATAAATCTTTTATAATGTTATTTATTTATGTGTACTTTTAAAACAAAATTTTTTATTGTTATTTTATTTTTTGTGTGTAATTGTAATAATACATTTAACATTACATTTTTGTCCAACTTATTTTTTAATTTTTTTTTTGTAAACTATTATTTTACAATTGAGAATCGCAGCTAATACCTAAAGGCTTTTAGTTTGTTAATAATTATTGTAATAATTTTTAAATAATATTTAAGCAATACATATTTAATACATTATTATTAGTAGTACTACTACCCAATACTAGGTAACATAAAATATTTCACAATCTAAATGATTGGACAGATAATTATTAGCATTTTTAAGTTAAATCATTGTTTTTTCTATAGGTTTTCTTTATTTATTAAAATACTTATTAATGAATAATATATACCATCATACAAATTATTAAATTAAATTTTTATTATGAATTTTTCTAATAAAATTGTAGTAATAACAGGTTTATTATTTAAAATTATTATACTTAGTTACTATATACAGAATATTATAGATAAACAGAATAAGATTAAAAAATAGTAAATTACCTAATAATACTACTAAAACCAAAATAGAAACAAAAAAATTTACATTTTTAAAAACTTAAGTTTAATAATTTATCATTTATATTTAAAAATTTTTATTATATGTTAAACTTTTAGATAAAACATTTATTTAAAATTTTTCTATTATAGATAATTTTATTAACTAAATTAACAATTTTATATTAAGTAACTTCATAATTAATTGTTTTGATACTGATCTCAATATATATTTGTCCTCGAATGACAAATGAGATAACAGTGATGCTAAATCATCACCAAATCTATCAAATGAATTTCTATTCATATTTATTTATTTAAAAAAATTAATAATAATACTAATAATATATTTATTCAAATAATATTCTAATTATTTCAAATGATTAATTAATTTTTGCAAATAAAATAAAGCACTTTTAATGTACTGTTTTTCCACGTCATCGCTATATCTAGTATTATAATTTTCAATCATTTTATAGGCATTTTCTAATATACTAACATTAAAAATAAAATCATCTAAATTTTCAAAAATAAATTCAATATATCTATTGATTGGGCTACTCATTTTAAAATAATATATGTAACGGTAAAAAATATATATAATATAAAATATACAGTAAAAAGTGACTTTCTTTTAAATTTAGAAATAATATAATACCAAAAAAAGTTTAAACCGAAAAAAATATTTATACCAAAAAAAAAGTTAAAACCGAAAAAAAATTTTTAAGCAATAATATATATATATATAATAAAAAAAATTTCTGTTGAATTGTGGTTTCCTTTAATTGTGGATCAAACTATGCGCCAAATATACGTCGGGAGTTTCCAATTTGTGGCCAAACTTCACCGCACGTGCCTTTTCTGCTGTCAGCTTCGGGTCAGTCTTACGAATACCAATGAGTTCCCGAACTTTTGTTGGCGAAACTTCCAGAAATGTTTTCCAATCGGACCAACTGTGTACCATATGTACCAAAAATATGCACCAAATGTCCACAAATACGCCAAAAAACGCCAATTTTTCCAAAAATTATTGCCAAAATTTTTCTCACAAAATATATTTATTTTTTTAAAAAAAATTTTACTTATATATAAAAAAAACTTTTTGGGTATTTTGTATATGAATATCTATTGATAACCCTATTTTCTGACACCATGACAGGTTCACGGCTTTATACATTTAAATCATAATTTTATTTATTTAAAATAATCCAAAAAAATATTATTAAAAAACTAATATAATATAATATAATATAAAATATATCTAAAAAAAATTATATAAAAAATAAATTTTACTGTATATACTGTCTACTAATATAAGTATATAATATACATATAATAACTACATTTTAATAGTTAATCAGTGATTAAGTGTTTAGATTAACCACTGATTTTAGAGTGGTTTGTATTACAATTGGTGTACAGTATTTATACTGTTTATAATTTTAAACTTTGATTTTGTATAAAAATATATCTTTTTTTTGTTTGTTTTTTCTTATAGCATATTATGTATAATTTATTATTTGTTTGTGTCAAACAAGTGGAAATTTTTGTGTATTTAAAAATATTGTTTTTAAATGTTAAGTGTTTGATGTCCAATGTCTAATACCTGGACATCGCGGTTGCTTATGTTGTTTGTGTATGTTTATCATGCATACAAAACATGATATAACATTAGTCTATGGTATACTTTTATGTACACCCTGTCACTCCTTTTTTTGTATTATTATCAATTATTTTGTACAAATAGAAATATATTTCAAATATATACAAATAAATTTCAAATAATATATATATATACAGTCGATGACAAAAYTGGTGAACGAAGTTTWTWGTGTATATCTTTAGAGTGGAAATGGAACTAGAAATTAAAAATAATTTTTGTARCTATTATTTTTTTCAACGATCAGTTTAGTATTRTGACTGTTTATATAAATTGGCTCAAAGTATGCAAYRACAGTGATGGTYAATATMTCGRAAASTATAATAGATATTAAAATTCTATAAATTGCTAATTATACTAAATCAAAAAATAAATAAATATTGAACACGTATTTTGGCCATTTTAATTAAATAGGATAGWATTCGRATAAAATTAAGTTGTCCGTTAGCTTGTTTAGTTTTTTTAAATAATTGTAAATTATATTTTTTTCTCTATTATAATTAAGTACTAATTACTATCTTGTATAACATAACAAAATCTATAATTAATTATAATAGAAAAATTAATTTRCAATTATTTAMAAWAAACTAAACAAGCTAACTAAATTTAATCATATAGATAAATTGTTAGTACTAAAATATAAAATACTAAAATGGCARCCTAACCTATTTTTTTAATGATATWAACCTAATCATTACAGTATTTTTTTCATTGATTGTATAAAAAATTATAAATCCTTTATATAGTATTAATTATTAATACATATTATTATTATTTTTATTTTACTTATTTGTTATATAAACATATTTATTTATACTGATATTAAAATTAATTACAATTAAAATACACGACACTAACAACTTTTTTAGTTATAAATTATATTCAATAATTGGTTACAACAAGTGATGGGAGCTATACTATAAAACAGACTATTTTTTAGACTAATTTTTCCAATAAATCTGCGATCACTTTCTTATCGTTTGTTTTTCTAATTCTCTGTCCAATTGTTTTCAACCGTTTTCTAAGCTCTTGATTGTTGAGGACACTGTTGACAGCAGCCATGAGTTCCTCATCAGTGAATTCAAACGGATTCAGTCTAACCCCAAGTCCGGTCTCATGGACTCTCTGTGCGATATCAAACTGATCGTCAAATAGAGGCAAAACAATCAACGGTTTGCCGTAATATAATGATTCAGTGATCGTATTGTTGCCGCCGTTAGTGACTACCAAATCGACTAACGATAGTACAGCCGTATGCGGCAAAAACTGTTGGCCATACATATTGTCGGGCAATAAATTTTTATCATAGAATGGTCCAAACGATACGATATACCGGTGCTCTGTTTTGGCCAAAATATTAATAACACGCGTCATATGTTTCGGACTGCACCAGCCTTTTGTGCCAAACGACAGATAAATCAGTTTTCCCAATGTTTTGTCATTCAACGGCACCGGTATGTCAAACATTTCGGTCGTCTCACGTATTATATTCTCCACTCTTAACTGATTGGCTGGCAATGGATGTGCCGCCGGATAGTCTAACTCTTGAATGCATTGATATATATTAAGATATGGCGATCGGATACTAGTTTCATAACTATAATTATCTATAGACTCTGGCGGACAGTTAGCTTTGATAAAGTCATTGTATTTTCCTATAAGTTTATCATAGACACCGTCTAAGCTAACAGAATCTGATTGATACTGTTTAGTGTTCCCTGAATTTGTGGACAAACCTAAACCAGGTGTCGGTAGCTTCAAGTTATCTAAATTATTGTGAAACTCTAGCGGTTCCCAAAAGTGAACGCTAATCCACGGTCGGCCACTCGATATAATGGCCGGTAGTTTTAGTGCCGCATCGGTAATAATTATATCGGGATCGACGCGTTCAATGATTGCCCGATATTGCGGCTCAAATACAGCAAACGACTCGATTTCATTGTCGCCGAGTAGTGAACCCAATTTGTTGAGCACATCCACGGCATCTGTCGTCTCCATTAGATGACAGTTATTGGCCATCAATCGGATCCGATAGTTGCAATCGCCGGTACTGTCCGCCCGAACAACATGTTCTTCATCGAAGCCATAGCGCCGGAGCTGACCTTTGAAACCGATTTCCAGTACAAACACTACCCGATGACCGCGTCTGACCAGTTCATCGGCGATGCCGTGCAATGGATTGATGTGACCCCACGAGTCTTCCGGTGTCATCAATATTGTCAGTCTCTTTGATTCAGACATTTTATTTTGTCGGTTAACAATAAAAAAAATCAAATATAATAAAAAAAATATATTGTTTTCTGCAAATACTGTATTTTCTAAAAGATATATACTATGAACTCAGCAATAAATTAATATACACTAATGGGCTCTATCTTAAAATCAGACTCACGACTCATATTTTTTTTTTAATTGTGAATATCTAATAAACCATATTTTTACCATAAAAACGATGGCAATAATGGCAAAGTTATAGAAAATTTTAGACTAAATATATTTATAATTATTTATTTTTTATATTTACTCTAATGATTGGCCAGATAATTGAATCAGACCYGTTAAAACAGGTCATTGCCATTATTGGTCGTTTTAAGTATAGTAAAAATATGGTTTAATAGATATTCACAAAAATTATGAGTCGGGAGTCTGATGCGGGTCTTATAGTAAGCTATTGTATACAGTAATATATTTTCAAATTATTTTTTTTTAAATTTTTTTACTAAAATAAATATATTTTTGTCTCTGATTTTCATATTGAGAATTTTAAAATTTTGATTTCAGATTCCGTTTAAACATAAAAAATAGGTATAAAGAATTAGCATTAAAATTTTAATATATTTTTAGGAACATAAAGAAAATGGCGGCTAAAATATAAAAAATTTAGGTAAAAATTTTAATATTTTTTATTTTTTATAATTTAGGTAAATTGTATAGAGAATCAAAAATAAGATATAATGGATGAGAATTTGTTTTATTTCTTTAAAAATACTAAATCATTTGATACCTTACATGACTAAAGTTTAATTTATTTTTGTCATACAGAGTCATCTGATAGCCAACATGACTAAAATTAAGTTTATATTGTGCCACTAAATCGTTTAATTAATAGTAATAATAATGTAATAATTATTAAACAGTATTCATAGTCTATCTTTTTTAAAATTTATATAAAACTATAAGCTTTAATATGACTTATTTTTATTTTAAATAATATATAATTTTTGGTATTTAGTTTTAGTTGAATTAATTAGAAATTTTTATAATTTATACAGCTATTAATTAATTTATAAAAAATATTTTATTTACTAAATCTACTATTCGTTTTTTATGATATGATTATATATTTATATTTTTAAATTGTTTTTCAACCATTTTGATTGAGTTAAATGTCAGTTTCATAATAACTACATTTAATCAAAATATAATTATTTTTTTATAAAAATGTTTTGTCACATATAGTAACTAACAGTAAATAATATTTTCTTTAAATATGAATTGTAATAGACTTATATTAAATGAATTAACAAATAATTTTATTTTATATATTAAATATTTTTATTGCTTATAAATTATACTAACTAGTATTTTTAATAGAATTTAGCACAAAAAAATATTTTTTTTAAATATAGTTTTATGTGTTTAGATTTTTAATATTTCAGTTTTAAATACTTTATAATTTATTTCTATAATTTAATATTACATTTTATAATATTTTTTAAAAACTCAAACTAATAGTATTTTGTTTATTAAAAATATATTAATTATTTTTTTACAATTTATTTTAAATTATTTATTAACATTTTCAAATCAATTATGATATCTCAATCAATAATTATTAAAACGTTTATCTTTGCTATTGTAATACTATTTATAAAATTAATATACAAATTGATTGTTAATGTTTATAATCATTTTGAAATATTACGTCAATTACCTCCCGGACCCATATGTTTACCATTTATTGGTAACATTAGTATAGCCATGAATTGTACTGCAAAAATAATTCGCGATTGGTCTACAAAATATGGACCCGTTATTGGGTAAAGTAATTATTATATTATATAAAAATAAATTTTATTATTATTAATAATATTATTTTAATTCATTTTAACAACAACATAAAATTATTTTATATTATAAATTCAATAACAAAAATAATAATTATAACAATAAAATAGTTTGAAATTTGGTTTATTTCCGACTGTATTTCTAAACGATTGGCCATCAATTAAGACAACATTAACAATGAATTCATTAGTAGATAGGCCACCACTTTCAATATTTTCAGCTTTTTACGAAAGTAGTACGTATTTTATTTTATTTATTTATTTATTTTTTACAATTTATATGTATATTGTTTTTTATTTAATTTAATTTTTATAATTATAATTAACTAATTTTATTTAATTATTATATATATATATACTATATTTACATTATATACATTACAATGCGGTCGCATCCAAAATATCCAAAATCAAAATATCCAAACTTATAATATCCAAATCAAAATCTCCAAATCATAATATCTAATTCAAAATATCCAAATTTAAAATCTCCAAAATCTAAATACAAACTCATTATATCTAATTTAAAATATCCAAAATAAAAATCTCTAAAATAATAATATCTAAACTTATAATATCAAAAAGCGTTTGATCATATTCACTTGATCCAAATTAAATAATTTAAATAAATATATTCAAAATTAGTTTAATTACAATTTACAGTAATAATTTTACCTATTATTATAAATATTTATTGAAAATAAATAAATTTGGATATTTTTATTAGAATTATTTAATTTGGATCAAGTGAATATGATCAAACGCTTTTTGATATTATAAGTTTAGATATTATTATTTTAGAGATTTTAATTTTGGATATTTTATATTAGATATTATGAGTTTGAATATTTAGATTTTGGAGATTTTAAATTTGGATATTTTGAATTAGATATTATGATTTGGATATTTTGATTTTGGATATTTAGAACGAGACCCATTACAATGTATATTAAATACATATTTATATATATATTTTTTTCATCGGTATTTATTTCATAACTTTAATTTGGATTAAATATAAAGATTTAGTTGAGATGAGTGGCCATCTATGGCAACAACAGCGAAGATTTACATTTTATCATTTATCTAAACGTGGTTTTGGCAAACATTCAATGGACAGTCATATTGTCGACCAGTGCCGCCGTACATGTGAACTGATGATCGACAAAACAATCGGTTCGGAAATCGATGTCCGACAGCTATTCGGTGTCAGTTTGGCCAACAATGTGTCAACTATTTTGATTGGCCGACCATTGGACTATAGTCCCTATAATTCCCGGTTTATTAATTATGTTATAAAACCCGATAGAGTACTTTCGTTTACCGATTTTTGGTCACAATTCCCGAATTTAGCAGATTTTATGAACAATTATCTAATATTTTTATTGCCCGATATTTATAAAAAATCTGAATTCAAATTAGACGATATCTATAATTTTTTCAGGTAAGTACTGTTTTCTAAAAATAACAAATTATTTTCTTAAAAAATATTATTAAATTAATTATTTGAAATTTTTTTTATAAAATTATATGATTTTTAATTAGATTTTTTTWATAAATTTAGAAATGAAGTTAAATTGCATTTAGAAAMTGATATGTATTTAAAACGTCAAAATGATTATATCGACGATTTTTTAAATGAAATAAACAATTGGAAAAATAAAAATGATCAAGATCATTCATTTAAGAGTTAGTAATTAATTAATTAATTTTTAAAAAAAAATAATTATTGGCTTCGCTTTTAACATTGTTTTCGGGTTYAATAAAACACTGTATTAAATGCATTGATTTTAACTATTATTTAATGAACTAAAWTTATTCAATCAAAAAAATAAATACTAATATAAATACAGGAAACATAGAAACCACACTAACTTTCACCACATCCTAACCCYATCCCGTAACAACTTCCTCTCACACCCCACCCACCTAACCCCCAAAYTAACTCAAATATAAGGRTATTATCAATATAATGGTATAACATATAAAAACAATAWTAAAWGCGAAGCAACCCTATAAGGTAACTAAARMCAAATTATTACTTAAATATTTTAACAAWRTTATAAARATATTAATAATAAAATAATATAAATWATATTTWTCTWTTAAYAGTCTAAYTAATTAACTTATAATAAATAGTTTTTAATTAWTACAATAATTTTMTCATMTATTGTTTACAGTTAACACATTAGTCAGTAATTTAGTTGCACTGTTTGGCGGATCAATAACCAGTATAATGCAGACACTTGAGTGGGCACTGGTATTGTTGGCCACATATCCGGATATTCAGTACAGACTTCATCGGGAAATCGATGCCAATGTWTCMGATATTCAATTGCTTAGCTWTGACTATAAAAATCAGATGCCATTCACAATGGCTTTTATYTATGAAGTTATGAGATTTCGGTCACTWTCRCCRATCAATCAATCGAGATGGTAGGCTATTATTAATTRTATTAATCAATTKATTAATTAATTAATTATATATATATTATTTAGGACAACTGCTGATATTGTAGTAAATGGTCARAAAATACCGAAAAATACACAAATATTTGCAAACCTATGGGCTGTGGATAACGATCCAAATCTATGGGACAAACCGCACGAGTTTAGACCCGAAAGGTTTCTCACGGATAACGGGACGACTGTAACAGTACCGGAATATTTTACACCGTTTTCTATTGGTTTTGCATTATTATTATTAAATTAAATACAAAATTAATTAAATATGTAAACTGTATTAATTGTTTATTTAGGTAAAAGGGTGTGTCCGGGTGAGGTGTTTGCTATGAGAGAACAATTTCTATATGTAGTCATACTATTACACAGATATCATATCAAACCGACACAAAATACCGACACAACACTTGAMTAYGAATTCAAAATATCAGTTACACCTAAACGTGAACCAGTAGTTTGTTTTATSAATAGAGTCTAAAAATTTATTATTATTTGATTTTTTATTTTCTGTTTTTTGAAATCTTATTATTAAATTGGTGTTATTAATTAATTTTTAAATTAAATTGTTTTTATCTTTTTTCAAGCTACTTTTTAAATTAGCATAATAAACTTATTTTTTATATWAATAAATAAATAAATAACAAAAAGTCATAGATTYTATGKCATCCGATTTTTTAGATAAGTTAAAATTTACTTTTAATTACCAACAATTCATTATGATCAATTTATAATATTTAGATAAATTGTATTGCTTTTATTTTTTTTATTTATTAATTATTGATTTTTTATAATRTTGTAAAAATTATTTTATAAATATGCTAAAATAAACATATTAACATAATTTATTTGAAACACATTTTGTTGKAAATTTTAAAGAAAAAATAAACATAATTAKCTATAATTTTTAGAAATATATAAAAATATAAAAAAATYAACTTAAAGTTTTTTTGCCAAGTAATTARTWATTRTGAAAATGATTAAGACATATTTTTTTTATAAAAATATATTAGTACACTAAAATTTATAGTAAAATGTTTAGTAATTAATTTTTAAAAATATTTTTTASTTATTATGTTAAGTTAAGTAGTATTAAAMTAATTTGATATTATTTTATTATTTCTAATATTTTATATTATTTTTATTTTTTTYCATTAATATGGACAAACTAATATATTTTATYGATCAATTTAAAAACATTATGATATTTTTGTCATTAATAAAACTAACAGTAATATTATTTTTTTGTTTTATAGTTTATAAAACTGTATTATTTTATTACCGTTATTATAAATTACCTCCCGGTCCATTTCCATTGCCAATATTGGGTAATGTATTATGTATGTATATTTTTAGTAAAATTATATTACTAAATTAATWAATAATTAATTAAGTTAATAATTTAAGTTTAATTAACATTAATAACTATAGTATATAATAAATTTAATAATAAAAATAATTAATTAATATTAATTATGATTTATGTTAAATTTATAGATAATTTATGAAAATATTTGTATTTTAATTAATGTAATGTTAAAAAAAAATTCTATACAATTAAATTTTAAAACAGATTTTAAAACTGATTTACACAATCAACAAGTAATAAATCAATTGCACAAAAAATATGGTCCAATATTTACAATATATTTTGGTAATAAACCACATATTTTTGTCAATGATATAAACATATCAATGGATGCCTTCAATAAAATTGCTGTATCCGGACGTCCGAAATCTTATTTATGTAATAATATAGTAATAATAAGTTTATAGTTTTTATTTATTATTATAAAAATAAATTATTTTATGTAAAAAATAATATATTCAATTTTTACAAAAAAATAATTTATTTTTATAATAATAAATAAAAACTTATAGATAAATAAAAAAAAATCCATTAAGTATTTCATATATCAAAATTTAAAAATGTAATTATTTATTTAATTAATTTTTTATTTTTAAAAAAATAGTAAATAAGTTTTCAAATGAATATTATACTGACGTAACATTTGCTAATTATGGCATTGAATGGCAAACACTGAGACATTTAGCATTATCTACTATTAAGTAAATATTATGATATAATAATATTTATTAACATTTTAATTTCCTTAAAAAATATATTTAATTTTTCAGTAAACATTTACTAAACAATAAAATTATTGATGAAACAATTGATTGTATGGACAAAAYTATTAGGAAAATGTTAGCAAATGAAGGACCGGATAAACCGATTGCACCGTTAGATTACATATTCATTATGTATCTCAATATTGTCAACAATTGTGCCTTTGGAGAGAAGTATAATTTTTTTTAATAAAAATTATTTATCAATTAAATTACAAATTATATATTTTAAAAATAAAAGATTGAAAATGAATTATTAAAAATTAATATATTTTCAACAAAATTAATAATACTTTAATAAATAATAATTTATACCCTAATATTATATTTTAGTTTTATTTTTACTATTTAAACTTRTTATTCTTGATAATTTTATAGTTAATTAATAATTTATATATAATAATAATTATTATTAATATTATATTTATCTTAGTCTAAGTTTAGATGACCCGCACTTAAAACGCCTAAAATATCTAATACACGATTTCTACGATAAAATGTCGACAAACTTTATGTTATGGGAATATTCAGCAATATTTCGATGGTTTGACTATAGATTAGTTAAACAATTCAATGAAATCACTGGCGAAGCCCGGGATATATTAGTCGACAAATTTACAAAACACTACAAATCATATGATCCGAGCGTTGAAAGAGATTTATGCGATTCACTGATTGCGGCAAAACTGCAGACAAAAACAAGCGCTGATAGTGTCGACCGTCGGAAACATTTAAGTGATATGAATCTGACAATGATTTTATACGACCTGACTATCGACGCGGCCGACACTTTTCACGGCGTATTTCAATGGATACTATTATTTCTGGCCAATTATCCGCTAATTCAAAAACAAYTACGAATGGAAATCAAACAAACAATTGGCGACCGACGGCCACAACTTGACGACAAAAATCGGTGTCCGCGGGTTATGGCGTTTATTGCCGAAACAATCCGATTGCGTGCACCCAATCCGTTTGGGGCACCGCACCAAACATTGTCGGACACAACAATTGGTATAATTAAGAAAAATATATATAACATTTTTTTTAGTCATAAGTTTCTAAAACAATAACTAATTAAAATTAATTGATTTTAAATAAATTTAGGCAATTATTCGGTGCCAAAGGGTACTAGAATTTCGGTAAATTTAGGCTACATTTTATGCGATAGTAAGCACTGGGGAGACGATAGTCATACATTCAGAGCCGACCGATTTATTACCACTACTAGCAATGGTAGTGAAAAATTGGACACAAATCACAAAGCATTTGTACCGTTCGGTATTGGACGTCGTAAATGTATGGGCACCAAATTGGCTATTGCTGTACTTTTTATATCTGTGGTACGATTGATACAGATAACCGATGACTATACTATTGTATTGGACAGTCATATGCAATTGGATCCCGATTCTAATAGCGGTTATCTAACTACACCACACAACTATAATATATTATTCAAATCAAAAACTATATAATTTTTTTAATGTTATTTTTATTTATAATGTTTAAAATTAAGAGTGTTTAAATGTATTTTTTTAAACTTAAAAWTTTAAATTAGCTGCTATTATGAGTAAAAATAATGTTGATTGAATAAAGTACTGATATTAAGTAATATAATTTTTAAATTGTCAAATGGACGCATCTATTTTTTGTATTTTTATTTATTTTTTTTTTGGTTAAAATATATATTTTGAAAATTACTACTTTTTAATAAAAATTTTTCAAATAATTTTATGAAATTAATTCTTTAAAATAAAATTAAGATAGCATTCATTAATTATTATTTTATCTAGGAATATTAATAGATTCAAATATTATTTTGTTACAAATGTAAAATAATTTTTAAAATTTTTATTTAAATAAAATCTGATATACAAATTAAAGCATTTAATAAAATTAAATTAATTCATTTAAGATTGCAATAAATTACAAATTAATATCAATATTTTAACATTTTATAGTATTTTTTAAAATATCAATTCAATAAAAAATTGAATTATGCAATATTAAATTTGTAGTATTAATTTTTTTATGTAAACTAGAAGTAATTGTTTATTAATATTTTTTAAATAACTAAATAATAGTAAATAAATAAATATTTGTAAGGAAATAATATTATCATAAATTAATAATATATTTAATTTATTAGAGTTATAAAATTTTTATTTAGCAGCCCTAGATGTCACATTAAACATTAAAATTTATTGACATGATACTTTTTCAAAAATTATCAATAATTAGTTTATTTAAAATTACTTTTTAAATTACATTAATAAAAATTGACTGAATATTATAATAGACTAATTGTTTTTTTCAATAAAATAATGTATAAGATTAACTTAATTGATTTACTTAATCAATAAAAAGGATTACTAATGTAATAATAATTTTAGATAATAGATGTCATATTAAATATTAAATTTTTATATTTATGATACAGTACTTATATAAAAATAATCAGTAATTTATTTAKTTAAAATTATATTTGAAATTTTTAATAAAAATTTGATAAATATTAGCATTGATTAGTAACTTTTAATAAAATAATGTAAAAGAATAATTTAATTGATTTACATATTCATTAAAAAGAATTATTAAAATTATATTTTWAAAAAATTATTTATTTAATAGATTTTATATAAATTATATTTTTAATTAATTTACCACATAATGATTTATCAAATTTGTTTAGCATGACTAGCAAAATATATCAAGTACATTTTCAATTATCTAGTTTATATTATATTATTTTCTATACAAGTGATTTATCCAAACAAACATTGCAATAGAATATTGAAACAACTATTAAAAAATATTTAATAAAACAACTTTTATATAATTTATTTTTAAAAATCATAATTAGAAAAACACATTCATAAACTTTATAATATTATAAGTAAATAGAAAAAAGATTAAAACTTTAATTTGATTTGTCTTTTAGTTGAATTTAAATTTTAAATAATCAATAAATAATCAATTAATAAGCAAATGATATTTATTTTATAATAAGAATTTAAAAATATTTACTAATTTTATTTTATTTAGTAATAATTAAAAATATAATAATATAGTTTAATAATTTTATTTAATAGATATCACATTAAGCATAAAAATTTCTTGTCATGATATTTTTCAAAATATATCACTAATTAGTTCATTTAAAATTACTTTTTAAAGTTTTAACAAAATTGTTGATCAATATTAGTATTGACTAATTGTTTTAAATAAAATAATATATAAGATTAACTTAATTAATTTTCTTAATCTATAAAAAGTATTACTAATGTAATGTAATAGATGTTAAATATTAAATATTCATATGTATGATACTTATATAAAAATCATAAATAATATATTTATTTAAAATTACATTTTAAATTTTTAACAAAAGTTTGATCAATATTAGTATTGATGAGTAATTTTTTTAATAAAATAATGTATTTGATTGATTTAACTATTCAATAAAAAAAATATTAAAGTTTTGGTAATTTTTTTATATTTTTATATAATAGATGTTATCTATACTTTCACGGCTGTAAGTGTTTGTTCTGATACAAAGTYACTAAAAAATATAAATAAATAAATCATATGATATGATATCTATTTATTTGTTATTTAGTTAATTAATTCTTTTATTTTATAATTAAGATTATATCTAACAAACAATTAGATGTTAAATATTGATGACTATTATAGTCACAAACATTATAATACTATTAGCCATGATATTAGTATACTATTTTGCTATTGATAATCGGCTAAAACCTTAATGGCTTTTAGTTTGTTAATAATAATTATAATAATTTTTTTTAAATATTTAAGTAATAAATTTTTAATATAATATATTATCATTAGTAGTAATACTACTACTACTACTACAACACAATATTAGGCAACATAAAAAATTATGAAATTTAAATGATTGGACAGATAATTATTACAATTTTTTATAGTTAAATCATTGTTTTTTCTCAATAGTTTTTCTTTATTTATTTTAAAAATAAGACTTAGTACTTACTAAATCTTACATATAAATCAATTTTTATACCATCATAAAAATTATTATTAAATTAAATTTTTAAGTATGAATATTGCTAATAAAATTGCCATAATAACAGGTTTATTATTTAAAAATTATTATATTTTAGTTAATTAAAAATAGTATATTATAGATAAATATTTATTTATTTTTTTAATTTATAAAATTATAAATACAAATAAAAAACAGGTTCAACGTCGGGAATCGGTGAGTCTATTGCACTTAAACTGTGTTCAATGGGAGTCCATCCGGTTATTTGCGGTCGCGATAAACAACGCATCGATTCTGTTGTCCAAAAGTGTCGGTCACTTTGGCCCGAATGTCGTGTATTGGGTGTCAAATGTGATCTATTGATTGAATCAGATGTCGAGTGTTTGATCACTGAAGTTAACAATCGGTTTGGCGGTCGACTCGATATACTGGTCAACAATGCCGGCGACTTTTATGTAACCGATTTCTGTGAGGACGGCAACGGCGGTCAACACATCGCTGAATTGGATCGGGAAATGAGTTTTCAGCGAAATGTTCACCGATTGACACAACTGTCTGTACCGCTGTTGGAGAAAAATAACGGTTTAATAATCAATATATCGAGTATTGATGTTTCGGTTAGTTTTATATTATATTTTTATTTAATTTAAATATTTTATTTTTAAAAGGAGATATATATTATATATATAATGAGAAAGAGAGAGAGAGAGAGAGAGAGAGAGAGAGAGAGAGAGAGAGAGAGAGAGAGATAATAATTACAAAATTAAATACAAATTTTAGTTTTACAAATGAAAAATAAAATTAATTTAATTTACCAGGATCCATCTACAATAATCAGTGCGATGACATATACTACTATAGATATGTTTACACGTTGTTTGGCTCAACAATTGATTGACAAAAATATAAATATATTTGGGATTAGGTATATAACTATAATTTATAATCTAAAATAAAACTGTGATTTAAAACTACATTTAAGTAATTAAATTATTATTTATTCTTGTTATTCATTATACGATTAATCGGAAGTTATTATTCTATTCTAATATAAAGTATTAATTTTTTAAAAAATATATAATTTAAAAGTCAAATTAAATTTATATAATTAAAAACATTTTTTAATTAATAATTTAAATATAAATTTAATAATTTAATAATTTAATTCAATGAATCATTTATTTATTTTGATAAAATTATATTTAATTAACACTAGATGTGGATCGATATGTAAGACAAAAATGTTTGATCGTTTCGTATCCGATGAAAGTCTTATGAAATCAATTGAAGAGTCGATACCATTGAGACGTTTAGGCAAACCATTGGATATCGCAGAAACAGTTGCCTATTTAGCACTGACTACCAGTGCTCAACAAAAGTTATTGAATGGTTATATATGGACTGTTAGCGGGGGATTAAATCATGTTTAATATTGTATAGAAAATTATATTTATTTAAGTTTATCTAAATTTGTTTATTTAATATATATATATATATTATAAACTATTGTAATATTATTTTACTAAACAAAACATGAGATGATTAAAATGAGAAATAAAAAAATCTTTTAACTAATACAACTTATATATAAAAATAACTACAATTTTATTATTATCTATTTAATTATGATAAACACTATCTATTGTGCCGTAGCTTACCATACATTCCCTGCTTTGGTAAAGTAAAGCTTAATTTAGGAAAATTTATTTTTTATTAGAAATATTTTATATTTGTCTAACTTTTTAATAAAAAAAATCAATTAAAGTTTATTTAAATCTATTAAATTAACAAATATGAAAAATCGAGAAAAATTTAGTAAAATTATTGTATTATATAAACAAATTTATAATATTATATTTTAGATATAATTATTAACAATATTAATTTTCTAATAATTTCTATTAACATTAATTAATAAGTAAATTAATTACTAAAATATTATTTTCTTGTCTAAAATATTTAACAAAATATTTGAAATAAAATCTAATAAAATTTTCAGCACTTTATTAATTTTGTCGTTTATAGAAACGTACGATTGGTTCACATTTAGGTATTAATGAAACTTTCATAACAAACTCAAGTGTTGTATCCGTTTTATTTGACGCCTTTATCTCATAACGTTGTAGTATTGTAACCAACATTAAAAATATTTGCATCATTGCTGATGTCTCTCCCGGACACGATCGACGACCTATTTAAACAAACATAATAACAAATATAAGATTTAAAACAATTAAAATATTAAAACATAATTTTAATAGATTTAACAATAATCTTAATATATATATATATATACCATAAGAAAATGGTGTAAAATATTCTGGTTTTATCACAAATTTTTTGTCGGCCGACAAAAATCTTTCCGATCGAAACTCTTGCGGTTCGTCCCATAGATTAGGATCGTTATCGACGGCCCAGAAATTTAGAAACACTTGCGTACCCTTTGCTATATTATAGTTACAAATTTCTGTATCTTTTGATACCCTAATTAAATATATATAATATGTATCAATATATATCAAAAAAATAAATTTATTAACAAAATTTATTTAATTTTTAAAAATAATAATTAATTAAATAATTTACATTCTCAAATTAAGCGATGAACAACTACGATAGCGTAACACCTCTAGTATAAAACTGTGCAACAATGGCATCGATGGTTTTTTATCATAGGTAACATCCATATCATTTATACCGTAAACAGTTATAATTTCATCATGCAACTTTTTCTGCAAATCCGGATTAGTGGCTAACAATAGACAACTCCATTCAAGTGTATGCATAACACCGGTTAGCGATGCGCTGGCAAATGCAAACATGTTTCCCAATAACATATTATCTATTATTTTTTGTGTGTAAATGTTTTAGTAAATTTCAGTAATTAATAATTAATAATTATTGACAAATTAATCTTTTAACTTTTTTTGAAAAAATTAAAATTAATATATTTACCATTAAATAAATGTTGATTATCTTTATTAATCTTAGTATTCATTCTAGTTTTTTCCAATAAATATGCGTCGATATAATCATTTGGATTATCTATCAATTGTTCACTTATTCGTTCATTTATTTTAGTCCTTAATAAAAATAAATAAAAGTTAAAATTGAATAAAATATAGTATAATTAGTATAATAATACTATTAATAATAAAAACTTTTTATTTTCCATATCTAATAATAAATTAAATTAGAGTTAATAATAAATATTTTCAAAAATTATTAATACATTATATTTATTTTTAAAAAATAATAAATAGATTTCATACTTAATAATTGCTTTCAATTTGTTGTGAAAATTTTTATAGTTATCCCAATCTCTTGGTAACCAAAAGTTTAAATATTTTTCCAAATTTCTGAAAACATGTGCAAAATGTGCCCCAAAATCGGTAAACGTTAGCTCTCTGTCGGGAATCATATGATTGTATATTATTTGTGCATTTTGTTTATCATAAGCCATATGATGGCCAAACAAAAACGGATTAACAGAGTTGGCAATACAGACACCAAATACTAGTCTTGGATTGACATCAGTTCCCAATGAATTATCAATCATTTGTTCGCACATTTGTCGACATTCGCCGACAATATGTCTGTCCATCTCTTGTTTAGCGAAACCGACTTTCGATAAAAGATTTTTAATGAAAAATCGCTGTTCTTTCCATTCTTTTGGTTCCATTAGTGTATAATCTTTAGGAAAATATTTATTTCTTAAATAAATAATTGATTTTATAATACAGTAAATAACAATTAGTTATTACTAACTCAAAAGTTGATTCAATTTTATTGGCATTTAGTTAAATAAATTTTGTTTATGATTTAAATTGAATTAATATTTTAACCATACAGATAAAGCACATAAAACATTATAACTTTAATAAATTTGCATTAAATATCTATGACTTATTTGATATAATTATAATTTTTAGTTAAAATCAGTCATCTATTAAATAATAGCCTATTTAAATACATTATAAATTTAAGTAATTTACTCGTACTATAACTTTATGCTTATAACTATAAACTATTCATAAGTGTAATAAACATACTGTACAGTACTAACTAGTCATTTAAATTTTAATATAATTTCTAATAAATTTTTATTAAAAACATTTAAACTTAGTATTAAAAAATATTATATATATATATATTAATAGTATTTAATATGCTTACTATCTGGGTTAAAATTGTCCTGGCTAATTGCATTACGACTTAATGCCAATTGAATAGCATTTTGAATGGATGGCCAATCATTTAGTACTAATGTCGGATACGATGGCATTGGTATACTTAAAATAATTATATAATAATCATTTTATACAAAAAATATCTATTATTAAATACAATAAATTTGTTTCATATACCTAAATACTGGGCCATATTTTGCAGTCCACTCATTGAATGTTTTAGCTGTTGCGCCAATTATACTCAAATTACCGATTAATGGATATGAAATAGGACCAGGGGGCAATTTGTTTTGTTTGCCAAACCAACCATTATCAAATAAAAGTTTAATAATAAAACATATTAGCAACAAAATATTAATTGTATTAAAATAATATATTATAAATTCAATAGAAGATATAAAAAATGTTAAAAACATTTTCTTAATAGAAAATCTTTAATGTCTTTAATAAGACAAATAAATATATATAATTAAATTAATAATATTGAAATAAGTTTTATTAACTTTTTTCTTTAACTAAACGTTTATTTTGCTAATAAAAAATGATTAGTTATTTTATTTGCTTTCTAATATATTAAATATCGAAATATAAAATAAATATAATAATTAGAGACATTAAAAATATATGAAATATATATTTGTTACGATTAAATATATTAAACCGCTATTCTATAGCTATCCTATTTATATAATCAGATCAATTTGACAAATTTTCAAAACACATATGAACTAAACAAACATATTAAATAAAAATAAGTTAAAATAAAACAATTATTTCCAAATATTACTAAATTCACCAAAAAAATCGTACATTTTTACTAAAAAACACGAATAAAATGTATAAAACATTATTTTTATACAAAATTAGCAAATATATGAAAAAAATTAAGAATAACGACTTGAAATTAATTCAAACATTGAAATTAAAAATGAAATGAATTATATTATAAAAATAATATAAAATTAATTTTCTATATTATATTATAATTATTTTATAGTTTTATAGTTATTTTAAAATTAAATTATAGGATAACAACGTCAAAAAATGAATTACTAATAAGATACTACTAAAATATTTTAAAATTTGTATCCATTATGAGAATTTTTTTTAATGAAAATATTTTGACCATATATTTTATTAAATATATTTTTTAAATAAAACCACATATATTGATGTCTCTAATAATAATAAATAATTTTAAATAGTCATCAAAATATTTTATTTGAATGATTTGAAAATTTTTTGATCATATAACAAAATTAATATTTTTATGTAAAAAATAATTTAAAAAATAATAATTAAATCAAAATTTATTGAAATGTATAGTATAACATACATTACATTGCATATTTATATTTTTTAAAATTTTGACTTAATATTAATTATTTTACAGTTTTAATAAATTAATCTAATTTTTATTATTTAATACTTAATTTTATATTACAATTAAATATATTAAATAAATATTTAAAAATGGATTTATGGATTAGATATTTAGATTTTTTTAATTTAAGATAAATTATTAAAATGTATAGTATGACATCTATTAATTTTGTATATAAATATTTTTTAATTTTGTTTTAATATTAATTATTAGAGCCAGTATCGACCCTGTTTATATAATATAAATAAATTTATCGCAATGCCGCCGCCGCCTACTAATTAAGACTATACGTATTAATTATTTTTTATATTATTTATTATTGATATATTTTTTATTTATTCAGAATATCGTTCATCACTTTGCAAATATAAAATCAAAATTCAGTTTAAATAATATTTTTTAAAAATTTTATTATAATTAATCATTTTTTTAATTAAAGTAATTTAATTTAAATCATTTGAATTACATATAAATTTCTTTAATTTTACACTTAAATTGTTAATACTTTGTATATTAAATATACAATGCGTTTCTTACCTTACTGATTTTATTAAAAAATTATAAATTTCATTAATATATATATATATATATAGAGTAATTTTAATATCATTAATAAAAAAATATTTAAAAATCATAATCATTAATTAGAAATTGTTTATACCATCGTCTAAATTTGACCAAGCTGTTCTCATTTTTTTTAAACAATGATTTTCGTAAATATTTTTTGTCGTTCCATATCATTACGTCACGTGACAACTACATTAATTAGAAAAATTTATCATGAACAATTTTAATTATCAAAGATAAATAAAATTATAATAAATAAATAAAATTATATATTTAATAGAATAAATAATTATTAATATAACTAACTATAATTTAGAATATTATATATATATATATACCATATATTATATACGGTATACTTAATAAAGTTTTATTGTTATTCATACCATAATGACAACAGTTTTGATAAATATTTTTGCGAAAACACGTCTCAAAAATCCAGGTTTCATATAAAGTCTGTGACAGAAACTGTTACGATAGGGTCCTAATGGGGTAATAGTGGTCACCAGTATTGTACTAAAATCCATACCAAACAGTGTGTATTTGGTGGTCACGTGAGCCAAAGCCGGTCCTATTTGTAACATATCGATAGTAAATTCGGCAAATATCCGGCCAAACGCATGATAGGTAGCACTAGTAATCTGGATAGACATGTGTCCATTGGGTGACGGATAGACATCATAGCTAAGTGGTGTCCATTTATAATAGACATGTTTGGTAATCCAGTCCCACAGTTTGGCGCCCATACCTTTCCATTTGACAATACCGAGTACTTCAGTAGGCAAATGTACCGTGTTGAAATGGGCAAAATCGGCAGCATTTTCCGAAAATTCCTATCAACATTTTTAAATATAAACTATACTAACTTGTAAGTTATCTATAAAAACACATTTTTATCTGTTAATTAAAAACTTTCCAGTTTAAAATTTAAGAAAATACACATACACATACACATACACATACACATACACATACACATACACATACACATACACATACACATACACATACACATACACATACACATACACATACACATACACATACACATACACATACACATACACATACACATACACATACACATACACATACACATACACATACACATACACATACACATACACATACACATACACATACACATACACATACACATACACATACACATACACATACACATACACATACACATACACATACACATACACATACACATACACATACACATACACATACACATACACATACACATACACATACACATACACATACACATACACATACACATACACATACACATACACATACACATACACATACACATACACATACACATACACATACACATACACATACACATACACATACACATACACATACACATACACATACACATACACATACACATACACATACACATACACATACACATACACATACACATACACATACACATACACATACACATACACATACACATACACATACACATACACATACACATACACATACACATACACATACACATACACATACACATACACATACACATACACATACACATACACATACACATACACATACACATACACATACACATACACATACACATACACATACACATACACATACACATACACATACACATACACATACACATACACATACACATACACATACACATACACATACACATACACAGTCATACATACATAGAGTTATACATTCACATATTAACCTACTTTTCAAATATTAATTATTCTTAGAAAGATTGACTTTAATATTTAAAGTTCATATATTTAGAGCCATTTTAAGTTTAAAGTTTTGAAATGTAATAGATTTGTGGAAAAGAATTAAAAATCTCTTTGTAATGCTTTTTGTATTGTTTTTCAAAAATATATATATATATATATTTTAATACTTGGATACAACAGTTGGCAATTAGATTGCATTTTCCTCTATATTCAAATTTGTCCTTGACCATTAGCTCACAGGGAAACGGTAGCCAATCTGGCTTCTGGTTATTCGGATGATACCAAACCATAATCAGATTATCCATTTCCATACACTGCCAAACACGGGTCTCTATGTTTGGTATTGAGTTTGCTATTATAATATAAAATTTGTGTAAAACATAAATTATAATATCATACTGTAATTAATTTCAATGAAAATTAAGTCTATTTGTAAATATAATTTCAATTGATTTGAAACAAACCGTCTAATCCGGGTATTTCCGTACACTTTCCCTTTGAATTAAATTTCCAACAATGAAATGGACAGCGAATACAGTCGCCGACAACAGTGCCGCCGACTCCAAGATTTGCGCCGTTATGCGGACAGTAAGTGTCCAATACGTGTACCAAACCTGACTCACCTCTATATACAACTAAATCGTGTTCAAACAGCGATACAGATTTGGTCTCATTTTTGTTGAGTACTTCCGAATCCAATACTGCAAACCAACCGAATGGTTGGGATAGCGGTAGTTCATCCTCTGAATACCTGTCCAATTGTCGTGGATTCCATTGTTTGCAACTCATATCCTATTAAATATTTTTAATTATTTATTTTTATTTTAATAGTAAATAAATTGATATTTTAAATTTATATAAATATATTTGTATAAATTTATATAGGTGTGATCAGATGAATATACGATACTTAAAAATGTTACATTTATTTATTTAAAAAAATAGTAGAAAATTATTTTATTATATTAATGAATTATTATTTTAGAAAATTTGATTATTGGTATTAAACCTAAATTATAATATTAATAGATCTGGTCTTATCATTGTGGGGTTAGGAAGTGATAGATATGTTAAATAGGTATTTATCTTATATTTAATAAAATGTGTTTTTAAATTAAAATGTGATTAAAATTCAGTCATTTAGTCAGTGCAAATAGTTGTATCAACAGATATAAAAATATATATACAGTATAAACAAAGCCTTTTATTTTTTTTAGCATTGTATTATAATTTAGTCCTCCCTATAAAAATGCTACAAAGATGATAGAAAAAGCGAGTGAGTGAGTGAGTAAGTGAGAGAGAGAGAGAGAGAGAGAGAGAGAGAGAGAGAGAGAGAGAGAGAGAGAGAGAGAGAGAGTAAGAAAGATTTTATGTAATTTTTTATAATTATTACTTTTATTACAACTATTGTTATAAATAAATAATAATCTAAATTATTAAAATATTTACAGTAAGCAAATCGCTTGGCATATATAGCTTATATGACAAATAGGCAATTAGTATGACAACAGTTGTCGATATGGAACCGGTTATATAAACTGTACGATCGATAGTACAGATTATGTCATAGAGATCGACCAACATTTTTGTGTAAAATAATAATTATAATAATAAACAAACAAACAAATAAAAAATATATTATTATTTTATTATAATTAAATTAAAACTAATTTTATTTAACAACACTACAAAAATACACTGTAATAAAAGATTTGATTATAATATTAAAAATATTATTTATTTATTTATCAAATATCCTTATTTTATAGTAATTTACACTTATTATAAATTATAATTTCTATATATTATTATTATTTTCAAAGTTAACATGGCAAAATTATTAGAAATAAGTATTTTTATTCTGTATAATACAGTAGTATTATAAACTACATTAATTGTACCTGTATTTACATTTACATTTGTTACAAGGCTTTAACTAGAAAATGTTTTTTTTTTAATAAATAATTACAAAATCATTATGAAAATGATAATAATTATTTATTAAATTATGTATAGTATTAAACAGACTTTTATTAAAAAATTAAATTTATATTTTTTTTGTTAAAAAAAATTCTAGTTTATTAAAAATATTTATAGCAAACAATATATAGCTTGTATGACAAATAAGCAATTAGTATGACAACAGTTGTCGATATGGAACCGATTATATAGACTGTTCGGTCGATTGTATAGATTAGGTCATAGAGATCGGCCAACATTTTTGTGTAAAATAATAATAATTATAAACAAACAAATAAATAAAAAAATTTATTATTTTTATAATATAATWATACAGTAATTAAATTAAAACTAATTTTATTTAGCAATACCACACAAATACATTGTAATTATAGATTTCATATATTTTATTATAGTTTTGTATTATATATATTTTTTTAAAAAAAAGTATACAGTATTTAATGAAGTAATAAAAATATTTTTATATACTGTTTGTAATTTGTAAACAATAAGTAAAATGCTTATCAATTTTGTTAATATAGAAAATCTTTTTAAAATTAAATTAATGTTGAAATTTATAAAGAAATCTAGCAAAAAAATATTTAGTGATAAAACTATACAGGAAAATAATGATTAGCAATAAAAGTAATATTTGATTATTATTATTATTATTGTCATTACTATTAGTCCAGGACTTATATCGATGCCATTGGTTACTAATAACCCAATGCTAAGCAAATGGGTTTTATCGGCAGATTTTATTGAGAAAATTACTTTAAGACGAGTCGGTAGACCCGATGATGTGGCCAATGCAGTGGCTTTTCTAGTAGACAAAAAAATCGGCAATAATTACATCATTAAAACTAGCTGTAGACGGCGGTCATTGATTATAAGTAATATTTTTAATTATATATATTGTATTTATAGTGAAAAAACAAACAAATTGTAATACTATAACTAGAATGTTCAAAAAAAATTATTTTCTTATTTTTTTTTGAATAAAAGTTTTAATAAATAAATAAAACCAAAAATCATGTTAAAGTCAATAAAATTGTTGTTATGTTACAAACATGCTTTGGTTTTCATTTACCGATAGTACGGAAATCCGGTTTACATTCAACCGGTGTCCCGACATTTTGCTACCAAAATCACTGAATTTGGGATTTCATTTAAGAGACAATAATTTGCTTTGAAAAATAACTAAAAGTTATTTTAATCAGATTACAGTATATTATTAGTTATCTGTATGTTATAAACAAATACTGTAAATCAATTTATATAACAGATTATATATTTTTTTTAAAAATCAATGAATTCATAGATTATTAAGACTATAGTAATTATAATGAATATTAAATAAATAAGTTTTATGTTTTTATTTTTTTAATAATTATTAATAAATGTTTTCTTTCTGATATAAATAAATAATACTTTTGTAATTAAATTCAATTGTCAGCCTAAAATTTTAGTTTACATGTTTGAAAAATTAATTTTTAAATAAAACCTTAATAATAATTTTTAATATTTACATTTGTTATCCTATTTTTTATTTAAAACTTTGCAGCAATTTTGAAAAAACTAAAATTTAATTTTTAATACTAATAGTATAGTTATAATAGTTTTCCTAAATTTTATATTTATAAATATTTACATTTAGCTATATTGTAATTATTCATTTGAAATAATAAAAAATAGTTTTGTAAAAAAATATTAAAATGTTTGAAACCATTTGTGTGTCAATGGCCCGGATGTGACTAACGGGGCAATAGTGAGTCAAACTATTACATACACATTAAGATACATAAACGACAACAACAACAACAATCAGTGATAATAAAAAATAGTTTAGTATTCGTCACTAAAAAGTTTAAGTCATATACTGTCCTAACGATTGACCACTGAATCCAAAAGTGATTACAACTCATACTATTTGCACTATTAATCGGTCATTTCCTTAACAAACGGGTCAACTCTATTACAATTCATCAAATGTTGGCACTGGGATGCGGCTGTCCTACCGTTTCAGAAATCTATTGAATATAAATTTTTTTAAAAATTCTCTGACAACACTATTAAGAATTTTAAAATATTTGTGTTTTTATTAAAATATTTTATTGCAAAAACATAAAAGTGTACAGGTACATTTGTTTATAAAAATAGTATTTTTATTATTTGTAACCCTTATTGTCTTTGTGTATAAACTGTGCGCCCATTTCTCCGGCCAACATCGCGGCTGCATTAGTGTTGGCATTGATTATCTCCGGATAAATGGATGCGTCGACAACACGTAATCGGTGGACACCTTTAACACCAGGGTTAAGTAAGGGGGGGTAAGGCCAAAATACCCCCCTAAGATCGAGATTTTGAGATTTAACCCCCCCAGACTTTTTGACCAAATGGGAAAAATTGTCGCTTAAAAACGAGGAGAAATGACCCCCCCCTAAAATTTCGGCGCCAAAAGCGCCGAATTTTTTTTGAATTTTTAAAAATTAAAATTTTAATTAAAACTATTTTAGTATGTGTTTTTATGTTTATTTAAATTTATACGAATCTAATTATTGATTAAAAATAAGTAAAAAAGTTCAAATAACGTTAATACTCATCTAAAAATAAAATAATTTTAATTAAAATATTAAACTAAAAAATTAAAAATTTCCTATTTGTTGAAAAGAGTAAAAATAATTCAATTTAAATATAAGTTTAAGATAGTTTAAGAAGTTAATAAAACAATAAATACTTATATTACAAGGATTTTATTAATATTTTTTCAAATTTTAACTAAAAAATTAAAAAAAAATCAATTTTATAATTAGTATTCAGTCAGTATTTATATAAAAATAACATTAAAAATAAATATATATATCTATAAACTATAAACAAAGTATTATTTTAAAAATTATTTATTTTAAAAGTTAAAAATTACTAAAATAATAAAAAAACTCATAGTGTATCATTAATGCTTTTATCAACTATTTTAAAGTATTAAATACATTATTATTTTTTTTGTTAAAATTTAAGTTTTTTATTAATTTTTAAGTTTTTTTGTATTTTTTAGAAATTTTACCTATTTTCCTGGGAATTTATACGGGAACTTGTGGGAACTTTATCGAATTTACATGGGAATATTCGGGAATTTAAGGGAATATTAGGAATTTTCTCTTGACTCCCCCCTTGATTTTGGATTTTTGAAAAAATTGCCGTTTAAAAATGCAATTAAAATCTTACCCCACCCAATACCCCCCCCCCCCCCAAGATTTTTCGAGAATTTTGTAAATTTTACTCCGGTCTACCCCCCCCCCCCCCCAAAAATCCAAAACCTTGCTTAACCCTGCTTTAACACGTAATCGCGGATCTACTACAGTGTCTGTTCGGTGCGGATCACCCATACGACAGCTGCCCACTGGATGAATCTCAGCGCCGGCCCAATTGTCAATCAAACAGTCAATATAAGTGTTGCATCGATAAATGGGAACATCTGGACAGTACTGACACGGAGGCATAGGCAGTATAGAGGGTCGGACGTAACGACCAAAACTGGTTGTTTCGACAAAATGAAACGTATCGGCGATTGCTTCCCGAAGACGAAGTCGATCGCTTGGGTTGGCCAAAAAATTCGGATCAATTAGCGGCTGATCGTTAATAGAGCTGGTGTTAAGTCTAATCGTACCGCAGCTAACAGGACGTACCAGTCCTGTACCCAACGATACATAATTGTTTGAAATCATTTGTCGAGAATATCTTTTTATTTGTCTCTCCAATGTTTTACTGTTTGCCATAGCATTGGAACTAATGGCCGGTTCGCTACCTTTTCTATTAACAGTTAAATACATATAGATATCCGGATATGTGGTATCGTTATTGTATTTGGTTGACCAATACATCATAGTGTTTGGCTTCTCTGACATGAGCCCTTTACCCTGGACAGTAACCTGGTACAATTGACTAATATTGTCTAATGAAAACATAGGTTCGGCTAAATTCGGTTGAGTTAATCGAAAGTCAATATTAACAGAAACTTGATCGCAATAATTGTTACCGACGGGTATATTGCCAAATACATGACCGATACCTTTGTTTTTCAAGTGCTGTTTTGGTCCCACACCCGATAGCATCAGTAACTGTGGACTGGCTATTGAACCTGTATGTGTATGTGTATGTGTATGTGTATGTGTATGTGTATGTGTATGTGTATGTGTATGTGTATGTGTATGTGTATGTATATGTGTATGTGTATGTGTATGTGTATGTGTATGTGTATGTGTATGTGTATGTGTATGTGTGTTATACTGTAGTTTAAATAAAATTAATTAAAATTATAATATTATTTGTAATTATTATTTGATTTTTAAAAAATTATTATTAAAATAAAAATATTTTTAAATTTTAAATGTTATTAAAATTATATATTTACTACTAAAGAAAATAATAATTAAATGTAATTTTTTGCTTAACTAATTAATAATGGTTTAGTTATAATGTAAAATAAGTTTTTGTTTTCACGAATTCCTGAAAGGAATACGTATATGCATTCTATAAGTCGGTCTATCGGTCTGTCTGTCTGTCTGTCTGTCTGTCTGTCTGTCTGTCTGTCTGTCTGTCTGTCGGTCTGTCTGTCTGTCTGTCTGTCTGTCTGTCGGTCTGTCTGTCTGTCCCACGATTTTTTTTGAATTTTTTTTTTGTTTTTTTCTTATTTAAGTTATTTTTTAGGAAATTGAAGAAAATGGTGTCCAAAAATTAATTTAAAAAATCCCAACAAATGGCACCATATTTAGTTGCTATAGTGTCATAATATTTAGGATTACCTCTAAAAATAATTAATTATTAATGAAATGCATATATATTTATATAAATTAAAATTTATAAATAACAACAACAATCTAAATTAGAAAATATAAAATTTAATTAAAATACATTATATTCAAAATTAATTACATTTTTGTTAATAATAATTATAAAATTTTTAAAAGATATTTAAATAATAATTTTTTTAATACATTATTATTAGTAGTACTACTACTCAATACAAGGTAACAAAATTTAAGCAACCTAAATGATTGGACAGAAAATAATAAGCATTTTTAAGTTAAATCATTGTTTTTATAGATTAAATTAAATTATAAAGACATTTTTTAGCTTTATAAATATTATATTATACAATGAATACAAATAAATCTTTTATTATTTTATTTATTTGCGTTTTCTTATAATAAAAAATTTAACATTGTTTTGTCTTATTTTTTTAATTTTCTTGCTTTTTTTGCTAAACTACTATTTTTCTATTGTTACTATTTGTAAATTATTATTATTATGATAACTACTACCCAATATTAGGTAACATAAAATTACAGTAACTTACAGTACAGTTAGACTGACCACCCAATTTATTAGTAAACCTGTATAATACAATTAAATATATGAATTTTATCTGCATTTTCCTGTATATTAAATATTAAATTCCTGTATGCTAAACTGTATTTAAATAAATATATATTCGTATATATTTATTAGAAAAATTAAGAAATTAAATTTAAATATTATTAGTGCATTAGCCCGTCACATTTACAATTAAATATCATGGTTTATTTAATTTTACAATTTCTCTGTCTTTCTTTCTCTCTCTATCTGTCTCTCTCTCTCTCTCTCTCTCTCTCTCTCTCTCCCTCTCTGTCTTTCTCTCACCCTCTGTCTTTCTCTCACTCTCTCTCTCTCACTCTCTCTCTCTATCTATCTATCTATCTATCTATCTATCTATCTATCTATCTATCTATCTATCTATCTATCTGTCTCTCTCTCTCTCTCTCTCTCTGTCTTCTCTCTCTCTCTCTCTCTCTCTCTCTCTCTCTCTGTCTTACTCTCTCTCTCCTCTCTCTCTCTCTGTCTTACTCTCTCTCTCTCCTCTCTCTCTCTGTCTATCTATCTCTCTATCTATCTATCTATCTATCTATCTGTTTGTCTGTCTGTCTGTCTGTCTGTCTGTCTGTCTCTCACCGTTCATTATGTAATCTCTTTATTCACTAACCCATTGCTTATCCGCTAACTCCCAAACTCACTCAATCTCTATAATTATTATAATTTATTAATTTAATTTTGTATTTTATATGCAATAAATAAATATTAATAATTATAAGAATCGCGAGACCCGTTGAAAAATTATTTTAAAAAATTGAAAATTTTTTTATTACGTCTCGTGCTCTGTTTAATTATTTTAATATATTTAATTAAAAAATTAAATAAATAAATAATATATTATTCATGAGATAGTAATGTATTGTTATCTGACCAAAAAAACTTTTTTAATAATATGGAAACTTGTCTATTTTGAACATAAACAATTTTATAAAATTTAAAAATAATATTTAAACTTTATATTAAAAATACAAGTAATTTTTACTAACAAAATAATTTTTTTATTTTGAACATGAACAACTTTATTTTTATAAAATTTATTTTATATATTTAAACTTTTTATTAAAAAATACAAGCAATTTTTATAAACAAATTTTAATTCATAGTTATTTTATACTTTTATTTATTAATTAGTTTCATATACAGTATTTTAAAATTATATATTACATTATACAGGTCAGCCTGTTTCCTGTCACCTGTATCAGACCCAACTTTCCTGTATAATACAGGCGGCACCTGTATGGGTGGTCAGTCTAAGTACAGTAATGATTAGAAAGATAATTATTAGCATTTTTTAGATAAATCATTGTTTTTTCTATTTGTTTTCTTTATTTATTAAAATACTTATTAATAAATTATCTATACCATCACGAAAATTATTAAATATGTATATTAATTAATTAATTACAATTATAAAGCTTTATACTATATATGATTTACTTGATAGATATTTAATGTAATGTGCAAAACAAGTTTTTATTTGTATTTTATTAAACTTTAAATAAAACAACAAAAACGATAAAAAAAATAATTATAAAATAAACAAATAATAATGTTAACAAATTTATTTAAAAATTTCAAATAAAAATYTTGTATTACAAATAATAATTAATTTAAATAATATACACTAAATTATTTTATTATCTATTATTAAGATAAATAACTAGATAGTTTGATTATAATTATAGTTTTGAAAATCTTTTATAGTGTAGTTAGTATTAAAAAAAAGTTATAAGTTAAATAATATTTAAATTGTCCAGGCTAATAATATTAATTACTATTAAGTAATATTAAAACAAAATTTATTCACGTTTTTCAAATGATATCATCACTTCTTTGACAACCATTAGTAGAGCAATAAAATCTATTTGAAGTGAATCCTAATATAAATTGAAAATGTGATAAATAAATGATTAAAATACATATAATATTCATGAAATATATTTATATATATATATATATTAGAGTCTAAAAAGTCAGCGATACTATTAATTATTATTATTTGGTTAACAATAAATTGGATTTTAAAGTGATAAATGACAAAAAATACTAAATAAAAATACAATTCAAAATTTTTTAAAAATTATTTCTATGATTGATCAGATAATTTAAAATCTAAATATAAAAAATACAAATATTAATCGACTGCAATTATCTGGCCAATTATACATTTTTTTAAAATGACCTAACTACAATTTTATTTATTTAATTATATATATTATTATATTTATATTTTAATTATATATACATACTGTATATAAAGTACTATACATACATTTGACGGGTGAAACTTGTATTTGTAGACTGATTGTAGTACTGCTATCTTAATAACCAAAAGTGCATAAAGCATACCGGGACAATTACGTTGTCCATGGCCAAACGGTAAATAAGCATATGGATTATGATGTACGTCCAAAAAACGGTCCGGTTTGAACTGTTCGGGATCATTGAATAGTGTTGGATCATGGTGTATCGACCAAATAGGTATGTGTACTATAGTATCTTTGGGAACAGTTATTGGTTTTCCCGATATTATCGCATCACTATTACTACTACTACTATCATTGCCACCTCCTAACTTATAGTCTCGATTAGCCGTACGATCAATAAACGGTACCACTGGATACAAACGCAAAGTTTCCGATATAACTGCGTTCAAGTATTTTAGTTTTTTTATAGCATCGAATTCAATCACTTTCTGTTTATTTATTGTAAAATTATTATAAAAAAATAATTAATTTAATTATTAAAAAATTATGACTTTTTTTATCATAAAGTTATCAAACATTTTCAATGAAATATTGTTTGGCCTCTTCATAAAGTTTTTGCTGGACATCAGGATTGTTGGCTATATTATAGATAACCATTGATATAGTTTTCGTAGTTGTCTCATATCCGGCCACAAAATACATTATACATTGGGCTATCATTTCGTCGCTTGTTAAATCTATAACCAATATATAAATATCATTTTTTTAATATAAAAATTTATTGAATAATAATGAATTTATAAAAAAAAATAAAATTTATAAAATAAAAAACGATTCATACATTTATCGTTTGTTTTATCGTTGTTTAAATCTTGACTTGAATTAATCAAAATCTGCAAAAAGTCTGTCGGTTCGGTTTCGTCTCCATTGGCCAACAATTGTTGTCTATTTTGACTAATCCGGTCAATTAGATCCCGCATAAACAAAATGTTTCGGCTTTTATAATGTGATAGTTTTAATAGTTTAGCCAATTTTGGTGCAAATTGTACTAATATTAGATTAGGATTATAGCCAAGTAATTCTTTTATATTTTTTACTATTGGATTTGAATCGTCAAAAGAGTCTACATTTGTACCAAAACCCACCTAATAATTAATAATTATTTTTTTTAAATATTATTATATATATATAATAGTGATTACGACAAAATATATAAATGAACATTAATTTCTATTATACAATATTTATTTTTTTAAAATATTAAGTAAACAAAAATATAATCATATAATAAAAACTATAATATACATTATTTATTATAATAATTATATAAAATAAAGTAACAATTTTGGATCAATATTTTTTTAACAAATAAAAATATTAATATTTAACATTTATAAAAAAAACTTGTAGTTTAATATGATATTTATTTAACTATTAATGAGTAATATCTTTTGTTTTCTTAATTTTATAAAGTTTAACATAAAAAAATTTCTGTTAATAAAAATCAGTTATATGAAATTAATTAGTTTATATTATCTTTAGAATTTATATTAGCAAAATTCTTAAAACTTATTTTTTTTAAATATTTCAATTAAATGCATATTGAATTTATAAAATTTATTAATAAGCTAACTAAGTAACAAAAGTTAATTTAAAATTGTTCACTTCCGCCAGTAGACTATATTAAACTAAATATCATACATAAATAACTTTTAATTTACTATAAATGAAATTGTACTTTAATTTATATATATAATTTATAAAAAATATAAACTATAATAAGCAAATAAACATAACATTTTATTAAAATAAAACTATATATATATATAACTTACCTTTATCAATATTTCGAAAGTATAGGGGCCAAACAATTTTTGAATGTCAGTAATTATTTTTTTGTCAACAGTTTCAACCATTTTTTTATCTAAATTCTTAAGACAATTGCTAATCGATGGAATCATTTTTCTCAATTTAGAAGTCGTAAATGATAATGTCATTTTTGTTCGAATATATTTCCAACGATCGTCACGAAGTAAATCCATCATATTATCGACAATGGGATCGATTCCAGTTCTCGTATCCTTTTTTTAATAAATAACATATTAATATATATTATTTAATTATATAAAATAAAAATTAAATTTAATAATGTTAATTATTTTTGGTAAATTGTAATTAAATTAATTAACATTTTTTTGAAATATTATTTTTAATGCTACTAATAATATTAATTTTATCATTAACATTATTATTATTATTATATTAATATTATATTACTATTATATTAATAATAATTATAATATTAATATAATATTTATATAATAATAATATTAATAATAGTATTAGTAGCATTAAAAATAATATTTCAAAAAAATGTTACAATATTTATATAATATTACTATTTGAATAAAAATTATTAATTACTCGTCTATTTTTGAAAACATGGAAATTTTTGACCAAAACCTCTTGAATCAGTTCCGGATCAGACAAATAGAGTACCGGTTTTTCCATTTCGTAAACACCAAAAACTTTTCCATATTTTCGACATAAACTGTCTTCCATTTGCATCCATTGTTTGGTATAACGTTTCCACCAACTTATCCGAGCAACTGGTAATCCCTGACGTTCCCAACAATTATTATAGTTGTTATTTGTCCACAAATAATATCTAAAAAATAAAATTAAAAAATAAATATTTATAATAATTAAATTTTACAATTAAAAAAATATTTTAATAATAATTATTACCTATAAATTACATATAAACTTATTGATATAATTGCAATAAATTTAATATTCATGTAATCAAAAATAATATCATCTATTAGTTCAAACATAATTATCGTTATTATTATTATTAGTAGTAGTATTAATTAAATTAGTCGCAAAATGATACTATTTTTTTTTAAATAAAATATATCAAAAAACTACATCAAAAACTACATAAGCTATCAAATAAAACTTAATCGGCGAACAAATAGTTACATTTATACATTAAAATAGAATTAATGCAATCATTGCGATTGCGTGTAAGTCATAGTAGATGTCGAAAGCGGGTAATATTTAAGGGAACCAAACCGTTTCAAATTTTTTTCATCGTTTTCACATAGTTTTAAAAATATCTTTATTTTATTTTTTTAATTTTCATATTAAGATATTCAGTCGAATAATTAGAATATGTATAAATTAATGTAGTATTAATAACAAATTTTTATAATAATAATAATAATATATAGTTTGACACTGGATTTGTTTGGTATAACAATTGCTAAGTATAGAAAATTAATGAGATTAAATTATAACTACATGTTTACTATTAAAATTAGTTCAATACATAGTAAATATTTATATACAATTATTAATAGATGTCATACAAAAACATTAATTTACAATTTATTGAAATTATATAATTTATAAAATAATATCCTCCATTGCACCATTTATTAAATTTATGTATAAATAAATTTATTTATTTATCTAAACAATTGCTAAGTATAGAAAATTAATGAGATTAAATTATAACTACATGTTTACTATTAAAATTAGTTCAATACATAGTAAATATTTATATACAATTATTAATAGATGTCATACAAAAACATTAATTTACAATTTATTGAAATTATATAATTTATAAAATAATATCCTCCATTGCACCATTTATTAAATTTATGTATAAATAAATTTATTTATTTATCTAAACAATTGCTAAGTATAGAAAATTAATGAGATTAAATTATAACTACATGTTTACTATTAAAATTAGTTCAATACATAGTAAATATTTATATACAATTATTAATAGATGTCATACAAAAACATTAATTTACAATTTATTGAAATTATATAATTTATAAAATAATATCCTCAATTTATTGAAATTATATAATTTATAAAATAATATTGCACCATTTATTAAATTTATGTATAAATAAATTTATTTATTTATCTAAACAATTGCTAAGTATAGAAAATTAATGAGATTAAATTATAACTACATGTTTACTATTAAAATTAGTTCAATACATAGTAAATATTTATATACAATTATTAATAGATGTCATACAAAAACATTAATTTACAATTTATTGAAATTATATAATTTATAAAATAATATCCTCCATTGCACCATTTATTAAATTTATGTATAAATAAATTTATTTATTTATCTAAACAATTGCTAAGTATAGAAAATTAATGAGATTAAATTATAACTACATGTTTACTATTAAAATTAGTTCAATACATAGTAAATATTTATATACAATTATTAATAGATGTCATACAAAAACATTAATTTACAATTTATTGAAATTATATAATTTATAAAATAATATCCTCCATTGCACCATTTATTAAATTTATGTATAAATAAATTTATTTATTTATCTAAACAATTGCTAAGTATAGAAAATTAATGAGATTAAATTATAACTACATGTTTACTATTAAAATTAGTTCAATACATAGTAAATATTTATATACAATTATTAATAGATGTCATACAAAAACATTAATTTACAATTTATTGAAATTATATAATTTATAAAATAATATCCTCCATTGCACCATTTATTAAATTTATGTATAAATAAATTTATTTATTTATCTAAACAATTGCTAAGTATAGAAAATTAATGAGATTAAATTATAACTACATGTTTACTATTAAAATTAGTTCAATACATAGTAAATATTTATATACAATTATTAATAGATGTCATACAAAAACATTAATTTACAATTTATTGAAATTATATAATTTATAAAATAATATCCTCCATTGCACCATTTATTAAATTTATGTATAAATAAATTTATTTATTTATCTAAACAATTGCTAAGTATAGAAAATTAATGAGATTAAATTATAACTACATGTTTACTATTAAAATTAGTTCAATACATAGTAAATATTTATATACAATTATTAATAGATGTCATACAAAAACATTAATTTACAATTTATTGAAATTATATAATTTATAAAATAATATCCTCCATTGCACCATTTATTAAATTTATGTATAAATAAATTTATTTATTTATCTAAACAATTGCTAAGTATAGAAAATTAATGAGATTAAATTATAACTACATGTTTACTATTAAAATTAGTTCAATACATAGTAAATATTTATATACAATTATTAATAGATGTCATACAAAAACATTAATTTACAATTTATTGAAATTATATAATTTATAAAATAATATCCTCCATTGCACCATTTATTAAATTTATGTATAAATAAATTTATTTATTTATCTAAACAATTGCTAAGTATAGAAAATTAATGAGATTAAATTATAACTACATGTTTACTATTAAAATTAGTTCAATACATAGTAAATATTTATATACAATTATTAATAGATGTCATACAAAAACATTAATTTACAATTTATTGAAATTATATAATTTATAAAATAATATCCTCCATTGCACCATTTATTAAATTTATGTATAAATAAATTTATTTATTTATCTAAACAATTGCTAAGTATAGAAAATTAATGAGATTAAATTATAACTACATGTTTACTATTAAAATTAGTTCAATACATAGTAAATATTTATATACAATTATTAATAGATGTCATACAAAAACATTAATTTACAATTTATTGAAATTATATAATTTATAAAATAATATCCTCCATTGCACCATTTATTAAATTTATGTATAAATAAATTTATTTATTTATCTAAACAATTGCTAAGTATAGAAAATTAATGAGATTAAATTATAACTACATGTTTACTATTAAAATTAGTTCAATACATAGTAAATATTTATATACAATTATTAATAGATGTCATACAAAAACATTAATTTACAATTTATTCGATCGGCAAAAAACCTTAATGGCTTTTAGTTTGTTAATAATAATTATAATTTTTTTAAAAAAATATTTAAGTAATAAATTTTTAATATAATATATTATTATTAGTCATTTATTAGTAATTAGGCAACATGAAAAAAATATAAAATTTAAATGATTGGACAGATAATTATTACAATTTTTTTATAGTTAAATCGTTGTTTTTTATCAATAGTTTTTCTTTATTTATTTAAAAATAAGACAGTACTAACTAAATCTTAATTATTAATCAATTTTTATACCATCATAAAAATTATTATTACATTAAATTTTTAAGTATGAATATTGCTAATAAAATTGCCATAATAACAGGTTTATTATTTAAAAATTATTATATTTTAGTTAATTAAAAACAGTATATTATAGATAAATATTTATTTTTTTTTATTTATAAAATTATAAATACAAATAAAAAACAGGTTCAACGTCGGGAATCGGTGAGTCTATTGCACTTAAACTGTGTTCAATGGGAGTCCATCCGGTTATTTTCGGTCGCGATAAACAACGCATTGATTCTGTTGTCCAAAAGTGTCGGTCACTTTGGCCCGAATGTCGTGTATTGGGTGTCAAATGTGATCTATTGATTGAATCGGATGTCGAGTGTTTGATCACTGAAGTTAACAATCGGTTTGGCGGTCGACTCGATATACTGGTCAACAATGCCGGCGACTTTTATGTAACCGATTTCTGTGAGGACGGCGACGGCGGTCAACACATCGCTGAATTGGATCGGGAAATGAGTTTTCAGCGAAATGTTCACCGATTGACACAACTGTCTGTACCACTGTTGGAGAAAAATAACGGTTTAATAATCAATATATCGAGTATTGATGTTTCGGTTAGTTTTATATTATATTTTTATTTAATTTAAATATTTTATTTTTAAAATGAGATATATTATTTATATAATGAGAGAGAGAGAGAGAGAGAGAGTGAGAGAGTGAGAGAGTGAGAGAGTGAGAGAGTGAGAGAGTGAGAGAGTGAGAGAGTGAGAGAGTGAGAGAGTGAGAGAGTGAGAGAGTGAGAGAGTGAGAGAGTGAGAGAGTGAGAGAGTGAGAGAGTGAGAGAGTGAGAGAGTGAGAGAGTGAGAGAGTGAGAGAGTGAGAGAGTG